AAAAAGATATGGTCACCCTGGATTTAGATAGCCCCAATCCAACATAGTATCCTCACAGGAGAACAGCAGAGGGACACCTAAGACACAAGGTCCAGGGGAAGGGGAGAAAAGCAGGTGACAGTGCAGCACAGAGCATCAGAAGGGGGAGGGGCTCAGCATGATCCCCAGCCCTGCCGGTGCCCTGGTTCCGGGCTCTGGCCTCCTGGACGGCTGAAGAACGAACTCTTGTCCTCAGCATGTTGTTTTGTGGAAGTTTGTTACAGCAGCCCTAGGAAACCCATGTAAGCCACAAGGAGCTGGATTCTGCCAACCGGAAGGGCTGAAAGTAGACATCCTGGCGCCTTCCGAAGGACTTGGCCCACAGCTGCCTCACTCTCGATGGGTAGGACCTGAGCGCAGGAGCGGGCACTGCAGGACTGGTACCCCAGGAGCTGGGACAGGGAGTGGGACTGCACTACGCCACCAAGTCCATGCACCAAGAGGAGACAGCGTGAGAACGGGTTAGTCAGCACTTGCGATCACACTTCTGGGCCCATCCTAGCTGAGAGGCGCCTGCCCTGCTTCCAGACAGTGGGAACAACCCCAGGACACAGGTTTCCAAGCTGTGCGAGAGGCTGTGCAGTCCCCGGAGATTCCCCAGGAGGCCGCTGAGAAACCTACATCCTGTGGGAAACCCTGTTCCAGAAACTGAAATGGGTGAACTATAAAACCTAAAAGCAAAGCAGAATTCAGAAAGAACACAGTCCTCAGGTCTATTAACAGCACCCAGAAGACAGCTCAGTATTTAACCAGTGCTTCGGAGAACATCTGTGCTCCCAGGACTTGGAAACATTTTCAGGGGATGATGCTGAGCCTTCAGTTCTGTAAGGAGGAAGCTGCACAGGGGCGGAGGCTGTGCCTGGCTTGGTGCTAGTCGAGTTCGCAAATGGATATGTGCTAGGTACCGGGTGAGTCCTGGGCTGGGAAGAGAGCAAACACCGCCCCGCTGGCTGCAGGGAGCTCACAGGCACCGCCTGCAGACAGCTGGACCTGCCTCCCCACTCCTGACTGGGCTGCAGTCCTCTCCTCGCCAGTCATGCCCGGGCTCCAAGTCTAGCTGAATCCACGAAGGGCATCATGACCCACAAACACTCACAACCCAAGCGCCTCTCCTTTTTTTTTTTTTTTTTTTTTTTTTTTTGGTTTTTCTCCAGTACCGGGAACCAAACTCACGACCTTGTGCTTGCCAGGCAGGCGCTTTGCCGCTGAGCTAAATCCCCAGCCCCCGCCTCTCCTTAAAGAGAAAGCACCGCACTGAGAAGAGGTAATGCTTCCTTGCCCTTAATTCATTCGTTGACACAGTCAGCAACTCATCCACAGCATTCACAACAGACGTGTCCGTGTCTGAACGTGACTGGGCATCGGTGCCGTGTGGAGAGGAAACAGATTTTCTTAGGTAGTGGGAACTGGGTGTTTCCGTTTCCAAATAAAATAATGTTGATTAATCAATGGCTTCCTGTGAAATCTGGAGCACCTGCCCTACCTATGCCTGAACAGGCTATTGCCCTGGACTCACTCAACAGGTCAAAGGAAATTAGCATTTCAGGAAAATTAGAAGTATCAATATCCATCGGTCTACCTGCCACGCTGAAGAGGATTCCAGGGAGCTACTATGGATCTTAGAAACCTCATCGTTTTTAAACCGTTATGTTTACATGCCCAATGGAGAATATGAATTTTCCATTATTAGGATTTAAAAATTACAATTACAAAAATTCATCTTCAAAGACTTTCCAACTCCTTGCCAAGGTTCCAGCTTTCCAGAGTTAAGAAAGTTAAACACAGGCATACAGATATTCCATTTATAAAAGTGTTTATAGAACATTCAGCCCTTCCTACATAAGCCAGGCGGCAGGACAGGCATCATCTGTTTTAACGACTACTTCGTGTCTGTGATGTGTGTGCTGCTGCTCTTACTGTGCTGCTATAACCTCCACTGGAAAGGTTAACTGAGAGATTACACAACAAGCCCGATAACACGAGTGGTGTGGTAACAAACGTCTGTGCAGAGCGCACCGCGTCCCACACGCCGTGCTGCGGGCTTTGCGAGCAGGGCTGCGTGTGGCTCCCCAGTCTCCTCTGAAGCAAGGACATTACCCTCGCTCCACAGAAGTGGAAATCAGGCTCTGAGCCCGAAACACAGAGTGGACCGGGACCTGAGCGCCCCATCAGAGCCCCTCGAAAGCTCCACACTGGCCAGCCGCACGCCATGCTCTGTGGTGCATTCTAAGTTGTCTAATAAAACCCTGAGCTCACTAGGTTATCTGTGTCCTTAAATCACCATGTGGTTACAGCTGTATTTTCATCTTTAATGCCTCATCTCTGAGAAAGTTAATTATGCACACTAACGGAAATACGTATTTATTTCAGCTCAAATGAGTAATACACGAGAAGGGAATTAAGGGTTAACACATTTTATTCTACAAATCTTTCCAAGACTGAGTGGACTTCTGCTATAAAGACATTTCAGCGCAGACTCAGAGCTGTTGACAAGCTCCTGCTGGACTGTGAGGCCCTGCCGGAGTAGATCCTGTCCCCACTGGAGTAGATCCTGTACCTTTCGTGAGAGAAATATCTCAGGTCTCAAAAATGTTTCCCACAAGTTTTTAGATAGCAGATACCTAAAGCCTATCTTTTAAAGTTCACATTTTATGCAAAAACTGCAGTTTTATGTTTTCAGTTCTGGAAAAATACCCAGAAGGGGAATAGCTGGTTGAATAGGCCCTCTCATCCTAGTTTTCTGAGGAATCGCCACACTGATTTCCACAGCGGTTGCACCAGTCTACACTCCCACCAGCAGTGGGGAAGGGTTCCCTTTCCTCACAGCCCCCCAGCATTTGTCATTGGTTGATTTTGTGATGATAGCCATTCTTGCTGGGGTGAGATGGAATCTCAGTGTTGTTTTAATTTGCATTTCTCAAATGACTAATGACGTTGAACATTTTTTCCTATATTCATTTGCCATTTGTATTTCTTCATCTGAGAAGTGTGTACTCAGATGCTCATCTCAGATTCTTGGATTGGGTCTCTAAATTTTGGGGGCCTGATTTTTTTTAATTCTTTAATGTTCTAGATAGAAGTCCTTTGTCAGAGGGACAGCTGGCTGAAAACATACCACAGCAATATATGTTTATAGCAGCACAATCTGTCATAGCTAAATACTGGAAACAAATGCCCATCAACTGAGGAATGGATAAAAAAGATGTGGTATTTTTATACAATGGAGTATTACTCAGCTATAAAGGAAGATAAACTCGAGGCTTTTATAGGTAAATGGATGCAATTAGAGACCACACTCGTAAGTGAAATAAATCGGACCCACATGTGTGAACATCACATTAGCTCTCTAGTGTAAGAACCTGAAAATGTTAATAAAATCTGAAAGGTGCGACAGATATTGTACAAGGGAAAGAAACTGCTCAAAAGGAAAGAATAACTGGGATGAGGGAAAGGAGAAAAGAAAGAAAGAAGGAAGTGGAAAAAAAAGTATATATATAAGATAGTTAACACAATTGTACTACTAATTTCTAATGGTTTATTGAAAGGAACAGTTAATGTTAATTGTTTGATCTCACTCTTGCATGCTTATATCTAGTAATCTGAGCAACTAATTTGAAGGTAACAATATGTAATACAACAACCATTGTTAATTTCCTATCATCTTTTTTTTGGAATTCTGTATCGTTTCTATTATTTTTGTGTTGTATTGTTTTTGTCTGTTTCTGTTATTTTGTTTTATTCTTTTCTCTTTAAAATAAAATATACTACACTTTTAGGTATTTTCTTGTTAGAAAGGCACATATGATTATACACAAACAGTTTTAGAAGTGTACAATGGCAGTGGAATTATTAATCCCACTGGAAAGGTTGTAACCTTTTATTTAACCAACAGAAATATGAAGCATACACACACTCATATAAAACAAATGCAAATGAAACTGTATTGAGAGTTTGTCACTAGGAAAGTCCCCCGTGACAAAGCTTGACTTTCTTTCCACACAGATCATCATTTTCTCCCTTTGAATAGCGGTAGAATCCTCGCTCTTCACATTTATAATGGAGATACCCTAAAACCCAGCTTCAGAAGAGCAGGAAGGAGACGGGAAGGAAGCAGCCCTCTCCACAGCCAGCTCCACAGCGCCGCAGTGCCCGCCACAGGAGGCGTGGCCATTCGTGTGTCTTTCTAACGTGGCCCTGATTTTGTGTACCGTCACTGAAACTCAACACCAGCTGAAATCAGAATGCAGTTGCAACTGATGATCATTAACTTTTTAAACTGAGAGCGGATCTTGAGAGGTTGAACTACAGAGGGCTGAACAGGCAAGGCTGCCCCCCTTGAACACCGGCCAGGGGGCGGCCTGCGCCCAAGGGAGCAGTGGCCGGGCCTGCGCACTGCGGGAACACGCAGCAGCACCGCGCTCTGCAGGCTCCTCCCGCTGTGACACGGCCACTGGCTGGGGTAACTTACTCCTGAAGTCCGAGCCCCCTCAACTCTCAGGTACCATTCAGGACTTTCCTGCATTTCCAGTGGGAGCTCTCTGGGCTCACCCTGCTGTTGGCCATGTGAGCAGTGGAATAAAAGCGAAAATCAATCCGTTTCCGGCCCCCGTGCTCACCGCCTACACTCCCTCATCCCCTCAGAACAAGCCCGTTTGTAACTGAGGGGTCTGGGAAGGGAAGCGCCCCTCCGCTCATGCTGGGCAGGGCAGGGGGTCTCAACTTCCTGTCCAGTAGCCCGGCTACGCTGAGCTTAAATCCTCACCCTGGCCCTGAGCTGGGCACAGTCCCACCTGCAAAACCCCAGTCCTGTGGGGCAACAACTGGGGTTGCACCATCCTCCGCAGACTCGCGCCTGCAGTCCAAGTGCCCCAACAGCGCACACTCCAGGACACAGGCCGTGACCGCACCAGTTGGGGATGTCGCCCTCTCGGCCGCAGACCACCCTCCTCTGCGCTACTCACTGGGGCAGCAGCGTGTCGCGCACCAGGCCCAGCAGGCTGCGCTCAGAATCAGCAACGGCCTCCTCCTCGCCGTCCCCAGCCGACAGGTTCACCAGCAGCGACGTGGTTTCCGAGAGCAGGCGCAGGCTGCAGAGCCTCCATTCCACTGCAGGAGAGGGAACAGGCGTGACTGCGGGAGGGGCAGTGGGCGCGGGGGTGCGGGCAGGAGGGGACACCGCGGGCCAGCCGCACTCACCATTCTGGCTCTGAACCAGGGAGACCAAGGGTGGCAGGATGTACTCAATGACCTACAAGGAAGAGACAGAGGTGAGGCTCAGCGTGCTCTCCAGGCCAAACCCATGAGCACCACCTATGCTGTCCCAAGGGCAGAATCCCTCATCCGAGGAGGGGAAATCGGTGGATAAATTTATCCCAGATTAAACTCTTCATGACCCCGAATAAACCACCAAGCTTGTTAAGCTCTGAGAAAGTCCTCAGGTCAAAATGGCATCATGAAAATCGAGAGCAATTTCTTCAAACTTTGAGTTCCTACGGGAGGAAACGTAGTAGAAAATGTAAAACCCGGCTGGCATGGGTTGGAGTTAAGCCATCAAATTAATATGTACAAACTCATTACCATCACTTATGTTTAGGCTGAACAAGGACAAAAGGCTGGGGAAAATGAGACACCAATCCCTGTGTCATCAAGTACATCAAACAACTATGTAAGGCATTCACAGAAGGAGACTCAAAAGGTACAAACACACTACGCAAACCTTTCCTATGATGCCCTAGTTAGATCAGAAGACCACACTCAAGCTAACCCAAAATAACAAGTTTTTTCTTCCAAGACATCAGTGAAGAAAGAGGACATCACTAGTATGACCTAACTGAAAAACCTACCATCGAGGGCGTGTGAGGGTGGTCTGGTGGGAGATATGACCGAAGTGTGTAACACACGTGTACAAAAGTGCCCGAAGGCACCGTACACTTGTTCCCAGGCACACACGCTCACTCCAGAGCAGGACCCAGCCCAAGAACTACAGATCCCTGCTGCCCAGCCTTCCCACAGCGCCAGCCGCGCCCCGAAGAGGGACACAGAACTGCTGCAGAGGAGGCCTAAGGCAGGCTTCGGCTGGGAGAGAACTCCTAAGGAAACCCGAAGACCACAGGAAAAACAGGCAGGGATGCTTCTGCAGACAGTGCACTACCGGATGCGCCATCAAAGGAGGAATTTTTTTTTTTTTGCCAGCAGAGCTGCCTTAGAAGAATTGTTAAAAGAAGTTCTTCGAAGAGAAGGGAAACGACCTGGGTCAGAAACGGGTCTACACGCAGAGACGAAGAGCACTGGAGACGCGGATAAAGGAGGGTGAGCATAGTCGCGGGCTGAAGCCCTGAGAGGCCAGGTCTCTGCGGAGTCACCTGCCGTCCGGGCAACAGCAGTGTGCACGCCACCGCCACCCTCCCGAGCACCTCAGACTGGTTCTGCAGCAGCTATGGACGCAAAGGTCACAGGTCACAGACATGTGTCAAGAAGCATGGGGTGGTGGAGAGTCCCACCAAATGCCCACGCTCACCCTGGCCACGCAGCGCGGAGCGGGCTGGAGCCCAGGGACAAAGCGTGGGGCTCCACACACCGCACGGGCCAGGGCGTCGAGCAGTGCAGAGCAAGCCGGCCTTGAAGGAAGTAGGTCCGTTATTTTTTAAAATATTCAAAGAATTTTTTTTTTTAATTATTAGAGGCTTAAAGATCTAATGGTGGGAAGGAAAACTTTTAGAGGAAAATAAAGGATAACTTTGTGATATTAGAGTAAGAAAAGGTTTTTAAAACGACCTCCCCCTCAAAAAAAGAATAAAAAACACAGCCTGTTTTCAGGTTCTCTAACGAACACCTGAGGCTGGGCCACGTTTACATCAGAGGTCTCCCCAGGAGACCAGGACTGGGTGAGCCCATCTGCTTGGTTTGGGTGAGGGGTGTGGCGGAGCCATCACGGTGGGGCGGGCTCCAGGACGCAGGGCAGACACCGAGCCCCAACCGCTCAAGCCGCGTTTATGAAACGGTGCGGGAGCTGTGCGTGCAGCGTCTCTAGGGCGCTTGCAGTACTTACTACAGGGGGAAGGCCAGCTAAGTTGCTGTGCTGAGAGAACGGTGACAACAGAAGATGTCCGTCCGCTTCAGTACAGACGCAGTTCTGTTCTAACATTTCAGCTGGGGCTGGCAGAAGCGGTCTGTGCTGAACGCGCAGGTGTAGCGGGCCAGCTGCACGGACACACCTGAGTACGTTAATCACAGAGGTCCCCACAAACCAGTGAGAGAAGCCATCGGCTCCAAGAATTCTACGACCCCGGTAACTCACAATGGATTCACATGCAGGATACATCAGAACAGATCAATGAGAAAAACACAACTCCAAAAACTGAACGAAAGACATGTGTATAACTGAACAGGACATTCGCAAAAGGGAACGGCCACAGAGCCGGAAGAATCTGAAAACTCAACCAGAGAATAATAACAATAAAGAAGTGGAAACACAGAGACTGAGATTCAGCTTTACACACAGACATTAGAAACATTCTAAGTGCCTGCAAGACAGGGGGCACTGGGAACTCATCCAGTATGACCAGTCAGCGCAACCGCTGGAGGACCAATTAACTCCACAGTGCCCACCAGCGCTGAAAACGCACACGCCGCACAAGCCAGCCAGCAATTCACTTCTGCATCCCCCGTGATACCCTGAGATTCTCAGTTCAGGCCCAATTCTGAGCGTGTGAAATAGTGGCCAAATCTCACAATCATCAACTTTAATGGGCAAAATCAACTCGCAGCAGGACCTGGACAGCGTGACACGAGGGACCCTGACACAGGACATGCAAGCGTTCCGTAATGCACACAAATGCCAACTGCTGCAGCCAAAATTTACAAGGTTTTTTAAAAATCTATTTATTATAGTATCATTTGCTTTTTAAATTAACATATTTTTCTCTGAATAACCCTAGGCAATTAAAATAGTACCCATGGTGATATAAAATCAATCCTCACAAGTGAGACTAATCTTTCAGAAGAACAAGGGCAGGATGAATTACAATGTGATATGAGATGCTTTTTAAGTATATAAATGAAGAGAGTAAGGAAATTAGAATATTTGACTATTTAACTCCTATGTTTGTTGAGTAATGACAATTGATTACCTTATCAAAGGAAAGCTACACAGTAAGAAAGTAATTGAAAAACAAAATTATGTGAAAATAACTACTTGCCCAGGAAGCTGAACTAGGTGAAGGACATAAACACTAAAAAGATAGTCTAATCAATTTATTCATGTTCTACTCAATAACTGCAGGGATCAAGAAAATAGTATTATTTTTAGGGAAAAGGAGACCATATATCTTTAGAGAAAATGTACACTAAAATATACAATGACTCTAGCAAAAAGGACATGACCATAAATTTTTAAACGTTAGTTACCTCAGGGTATAGGGCAAAGAAGCACAGTTGGTTCCTGGAGTAGTTTCAGGTAAAAAAAATGAAGAAAATTCAAGAGAGGAAATTGAAGATGATAAAATATTTTAGTATACGCCCCTATAAATCTCAGGAATTATTTTCTGTACTCTCAAGATAACATAGGAGAGAATGTGTATAACTAAAACATTCTAACATTTACATAGACATGAACTGTATATAAGCCCACACTAGCTATACACACATACAACACCCATGTGCACTGTTATGGTTTATGTCTATGTGTCCCCCCAATGCCTCATGAGGACATGGGGCAGGCTTTTAGAGTTTGATTGATTATGGGTGTGAGAGCTGCACCTGCCCTGGAGTGGATAGTTTGCATATGTAAGGGAGAGGAAAAGGGTACCTGAGGACATTCCTGCCCCATTCCGCCCTGGTGGGTGCTTGCAGCTGAGCTGTGTGCTGCTGCCCTGAGAAGCAGCCCTCTGCAATGTGCCACTCTGCCTTATAATCTGCCAAGTACGGACTGAAGCTTCCACAAACTGTAAGCGAAATAAACCTTTCCTTCCTTAATTTTGGGCGTCAGATATTTTGTCCCAGCAACGAGAGAAAAGTAACCAAGACAGAATTTGGTACCAGGAGAGTGGGGTCGTTGCTGTGACTATACCTGACCATGTGGTTCAAGAGCCTTGGGAAATGGCTTGTGGGAAGTGTTTGGAAAGGTTCAGAGATGTCGCCTGAAAGAGAAGCGCTAGAACGCCTTCAGCTGTTCTGTTTGGGAAATTCTGGTCAGAGCTCAGAAGACCAGAAAGCTGATAGAAATCTTGCCGGTAAACACCAGGTTTGGGAGGTTTCTGCTTGGAAGAAGGACTGCATTGGTCTTTGGACTCCAGATGATGTGTGTTATGGTTTGGCAGAAAGTTTGTCTGCATTTTGCTCATGTCCAGAGACATTGCCTAAGACTGAGATTAAGGGTGGCAGCGGACTGGTTAATCTGGCAAAAGAAATATCAAGGCAGTGAAACGTTGGGGCAGTGGCATGGCTATTGTTGGGGGCTTTTAGCCGGATTTATATTGAGAATCAAGAACAAAGAGCCCAGCAGGATGATTTAAAATGTGAGTTTGGCCAGAAAGAAAGCTCCAGTAAAGCTGTGGACCGCAAAGGTGGAGCTGAGGAGATCGCCATTGCTGAGAAGGAACAGGAAAATAGAAAAGATGGCCTGAGGGCATCAGAAGCAGCAAGTCTCCACCCTTTGCAGCTTCAAAACTGCAAAGGTGAAAGACCTTGCCTTGAGAAGGAAGCCTCAGAGCGCCATGTTCCAGAATGGCGGCGGCGGCCAGCCCAGGTTCCAGAATGGCAGCAGCATAGAAAATCTGCTCCTCAGAATTGGATTCAGAGTGCCCAGTAATCCAGGCACTCGACCCCTGTGGCCAAGAGAGAGGAAAGCTTGGCTACTTCTCCAGGTGGCAGCAGACCTTGGCATCATCCATGTAGCCCTGGCTTTAAGTGCATGGAGAATGCAGGAGTTCTGAGGTTAAAGAGGCTTCCACCCAGATTTCAGAAAGCCTGGGAGGCCAGGCAGTGTGCCCCTGACAGGGCAATATGTGAGGCTGTGAGTGTGAAGCAAAAGGTGCCCTGGAGACCTCAGAAGTTTAGAAAAGCCAGGACCGTGGATGATCTAAGGAAAACTGCATGGAGGGAGCAAAGCAGGCCTAAGAGAGAAGCCATGGAAGCTGTAACCACCAGAAATGCCACAGGGGTGGACTCATGCAAACCCTTTGGAGCTCACAATGTGCCACAAGTTGCTTGAGATGCCGCATGTGGAATTACAGGACATAACGTTAGCCC